CGTGTCTTGATAGTTTAACTAGTTTAAGTTCAGACACCTGCCTCGGGTCTCGCACAATCATTGCTCGAATCAGCTCTGAGGCCGTATGACCACGTTCTCGTGGACTGTATCCAATCCTGTTTCCTCTGCTCTAGTCGTCATGATAATTTGAGTTTCGTGTTTGTAGGTTGTCGTGACTACTACTGGTCGTCACGACAGTCTACTCAGAACGAAATATAAGTAGCGTCGTCGATTGCTATGGCAAATAGACAAATGCTTAATCGACATTCCCACCACAGAATGGGATATGGGAATATGCCTGGGCATCGTTGAAATGCACATCTGCCCTATGACTCAAGACACTCGTGGCAATGCAGTGGAGTGGTCAACGTGTCGAGATTGCACTCTGCACCGTCAAAGTTCGACTCCCGCTTGTGGTGTTGATAAAATCTAGTTGAGAACATCTTTTGGGAAAGCAAGGCTATGCTAAATTCACTGCAATATTCAGCTCTACTCACATCATTGAGGGAAAGTTCATCTACCAGTCCTTCATCATCTTAAACGAAATAAGGTGAATATAACTCATGATAGTATATATGAAAACCAATATGGTGTGGCCTTCTGTTTGGTCGCAGTGTTGGATCTTACTTGTTTTCTCAACGTCAGGCAGACGTTGTGGAACGTACATAGTGCTGTGTTCTCTGCGATAATATTTGTGTTTTCCAGCTTCGACAACTGGCTTTGTCAACATACAAACGGTTGGCCGACATCGTAGTCGGCATCGTCAGGGAGAGGCGCCATCGTTAGCACGGAATTACAACATACCAAAGTGCCAAGTAAAGGCAATTGACCACTTGTTAGAGGGAATTTCATTTCGTGTGAAAGTGAATAAAGAAGAGATTCGTTGGTCGATCTCACCAGATGAAGACGGATTAATCTCGTTGTACTGCAGCCGTTTGGCTTTTATACGATGTTCATGTTGACGCAGTCCACGAGACTTCATACCTCGTTCGGGTGAAAACGTGCTGAGCTTTCGTCTATCATATGATGGACATCATCAGAGCTGGGTGTCATTATTGTAAGAGTTTCACATTAACGCTAGGCCAAGAACACTATCCGGCTCTATCTCTCGTCTTATATAGACTCAATTGAGCCAAAAGAAAATTAAAAACCTAGATAGATTGATAAAGAGTGGTTTGGATAATTATCTTTCATAATGTTCCTGTTACTTTTGCTCGAGTGTATGCGTATGTGTATGTGTGCGTGTTAGCGTCTATATGCAATACGGTTTCTAAATCAG